AGCGTTGGTTTGAGATAACCCCCACCAGCAGCACTGCCTCTCAGGGCTTAGCAGGGCAAAAGACGCAAGCCAGAAACCCCCCCTTTTTTTTCTTCTTCTTCTTTTTCTGAAACCTTTAGTTTTAAAACCATTTTGAATCAGGAGAAGGAACACTGAGAAAGACAAGTTTGCACTCTGTACTTTCGCAAAGCCCTGGTAATTCATGTCAGTTAGCTATTATCAGCCTGCAAATCCCGGCTCAGAGCACTCGCACATCAACAAAACACTTCTTATTTCTGTCACGTGCAGATGTGTGGATAACATCTGAAAAATAGTGTTTCTCTAGCAGAAGTGCAAATGGAACAAAATATTTGACATTAGCTGAGCTCATATCAAGCTTCTGTTTGTTTCTTAGGATTTAGCTAGAAGTTTTAAAACAAGCCTTTTTGCTTTTTTCACCCCCTTCAAATCTCAGCCCTGTATTACAGTCTGCATCCCCCAGGAATAGTACTGCCTGCTCAGGGCTGGCGCTGCCTTTGTCCTGTAATTGAATTGAACCAGCTCTTAGACCTCTTCCTCCCAGACAGCCCTATCATGTGAGTGCACCGAAGATGTATTACACTAATACCTCGTCAGAATGACAGAGCTATGATGATACATTAATGCAGTACATCTCTGTGGCTTTGGGGCTGTCCAGGAACGATAGGACTGGCGTTAGGCTCCACTCAGTCCTATCACACTCATGCACACACCCAAGGGCAAGTGAAATGTGTGTGTGAAGCAGAAGGAGGCAGGCATGAATACATTCCAACCTAACATCAGAGTAGTTACTAGGAAAGTGCAGATCTCCTCAATATTCATGAAAAAAACCTGTTATTCTGTGTGTGCTGAACAGTTCTTCCTTTGGTTGGGTGGTTGTTTTTGGGAAACACTTCAGTGCCACCTTTCTCTGGGAATGAGACTGGATGAACAGGGTACCCAAACCTACGCTCCCAAACGTGTGTGTGTGTATGAAATGTTGATCCTCATATTTCAGGAAAAAAATGGAAACTGGACTAGAAGTGATGGTAACAAAACGTTGGGAAAGGGCAGACAGTAGGGAAGGTTTAGAATGGGTGAAACTGGAAGTCACCAGAGACCACAGACTGAGAATCATAAAGGCTGGAAAGATCCCCAAGATCAAGTCCAACCATCAACCCATCACTACCATGCCCAGTAAAAATGTCTCTTAATGGCACCTGAGTGGTGACTGCTCTCCCACTGGGATAGCAATGTGAACTGGTGCCACTGGCCACCACACTAGGACAGAGGAAGAATCAACCAAGGGAGGTAACATCTACATCAATGAGGAGAATGTAATAACTCACTGCATCTCCTTGCCACTAGATTGTCTGAGACCAACTACAGCCACAGAATCACAGAATGGCCCGGGTTGGAAGGATCATGAAGGTCCAACCTCCCCACTACACGCAGGGCCACCAACCTCCACATTTCATAGCAGCCCAGTCTATCCAGGGCCCCAACCTGGCCTTGAACACTTCCACAGTTGGACAGGGCATCCACAGCCTCTCTGGGCAGCTGTTCCAACACCTCACCGCTCTCATAGCAAAGAACTTCCCCTGATATCCAACCAAAATCTTCCCTCCTTCAAATTAAAATCATTTCTCCTTACTAGGATGTATTTGAAGGATGTTAGGACAATTGAGGAACACTGAACATAAACCCAGAAGGAAGGAGGAAAGAGATGAAAGAGATGAAGAGGGATACATAAGTCCCAGTGTCTCAGAATTCATATTTCTTCAGTGTTCTACAAGTTCTGCAGTTGATCCTGCTATAATCTTCCTTGTAAGGGGTGGGAGAAGGTAGGGGATGGGCTGCATGCTGCAATGGGAAGCCAGAAGAGACTGTTGCATATGATCAAGAAGGGGTAGTCAACACTACCATGCTGCCATAGAACTACACAGAAGAAGGAGGTTCCTCTACTCAGTCACTGCTTTTTCCTGCAGCTCTGCAACTCGCTAGCAAAACGTACACTACCACATCCATTTGCACTGAGCTGTTGCTCTGTCCCTGTGCTGCACGCAGGGGTGGCCGTTGGGCAGCGCAGTGCTGGGGTTGCTGGGGTCCTGCAGTGTTGTGCACAGCCAACCATGCTTAGCGGTGCTGGCAGTGCTGTGGCTCACACACAAACCAGCCGGTGTTTGTGTGAGATGTGTGCAGCTTCATCTAAAGCCGCTTGTTGGAAGTAAGACTGTGAAGCTGAGCACTCCAAGCAAAGCCGAAGGTGAAGCTGCTCCTGCAGTTGTGGCTGCTGCTCTCTGTATGTGTACACAGTGCAATGTGCCCAAGGCCTGCGCAATGCAGCTCAGCACCGGCTGAGCTCTGCTTCTCTAAAGCATGTAACCTACTTTGCATCCAGACAAACCCTGGGCTCCCCCTTCTCAGCAGCCACAAAGCGGCGGTGCAGTGCTGGAGTGCAGGGTGCAGCCTGCACGGCCCTGAGCTGCGTCAGGAACCTCCCCATGGAAGGTCTGGCCAAGAGTGAGTTGGGAGGAAGCTTCCATGCGTATGGCACCAGGGTTCTGCACAGCATCAACATCTCGAGTCTTCCGAATGGCTTTTGTTGTTGCTGCTGGTGGCAGTGTTTGCAGAGTTGCTTCTCAGAAATGGAACTGTAGCAGCGTGCTGCACAAACAAGTGTGAAGAACTGGAATTATGTTTCTAGCAGACCTTAATTCTTTAAAATTCTGGTTTCGTTCTTAAACTATTGATGCTGCACTTTGCTCCTAAATGTCAGAACAAAATAAGTAATACCTGCAATTTATTCCGATGACATTTCAACAATACCAGATTTTCAGATTACAAACCGCGGCGACGCGTTTCTTACGGTGCTGTGCTGAATGTGTAGATTTGGTGGATTTACATAATGGCTTTGCATAATGAATATTTATATAATGAATGCATTTCCATAATGACTGCAAGTTAAACACGCACTGTAAAGATTACAGGGCAATAATTTATGTACTAAGTTAAAAATCAGCTCTAAATACATTTTATTTTTATTCCTCCAAAAAGTTCATTTTATCTCTTGTTCGGAAAAATGGAATCTGACCCAACCCGAGTAAAGGCTGCATCGATGCAAATCACGATAATATTTTGGCATTAGTCTACATTGAATCATTTGTATTCTGAGTTTTCCATTTCTTATCTTCCAGCAGCAGCTCTGACAAACAATTTCAGAATATTACAAATGCAATTCTTTAATATAATTTAGCGTTGTGTTCTAGATGCGACACTTGCGTGTAATCCTCATTAGCACCACCGGGAATCACGGGGGGGGAAACTGATAGAAATTACAAAGTGCAGATGAAGCTCACGTGTAGATAAAGGTAATTTGCTGCAGGCATAATACGAGCCCATACGGCAACCTGGCGTTCTCAGCTCCTGCATTTAATTGGATTTCAGGGCTGTGTGGCTGTTGGTACAGCAGGGCGTGCAGCTGAGCGCAGGAACAGCATGATGTGACTGAAACATTTGCAGCATGGACTGCACTCTGCTTGCTGCACGCCTGCTCCCAGCAGCACATTGGAAGCCATGGGCTGATGTGCAGCTGCAGAGCAGAGGGGAGCAAGGCTGTACGAGCAAGCAGCAAACCTAATATGGCCTCGATGCCATCCTGGAGAGAGGTGCCCACACACACCACCATTGTGCTCCTGCCCTTAGGGCAGTGCCATCAGCACAGCCCAGCCCACAGCTCACAGCCCTCCTCTCCTCCCCTGCTCTTGGGCCAACACATGAACACAGTAGGCTCACTGAGAGCTCTGTTCTCCAAGCACCAGCTCTGCCAGGACTCAAGGTGGGGGGGTCCTGCTCATCAGTCTGGGTGGACTCATTCTCCTCTTCTGCTATTTTCCTCTATAGGACAATTTTAGCAGCTCCTTTCTCTAAAAACCCTAATGCTTTATGCTATTACTCTAAAGTATCACTGCAGTTTCCAATAAAATTTTATTTGACATTTAGTTAAAATCCATTTTTTGCTGCAGCTGATTTTCCCCCTGTCCCCCAATGGATACTTCCAGCAGAACTCACTGTCATTGTCTTAAAGGTCAAAAGTTAGGTTTTTTTTCTGACTCTCACTTCAAAAAGGAAACCGCTGTTGGATGATGACAGCCCACAGAAAGCAGCAGCCCATGGAGCCGGCCTTCCCTGCAGCACACGGGCCCCTCACAACAGAGCTGCTCCACAAAAACTGGCACAGCAGTGGGGATCCTCCAGGGTGGGCTGCAGGTTGTAAGGCTGAATGGGAGGGAAATCTCCTCAAATCTGTGCCATGATATGTTTCAGCTTTCACTTCTAGAGAGCCCTTGGATTGGCTTTAGTGTGAGCTGATCACGTCATAAAATCCTAGAATGGCCTGGGTTGCAAAGGAGCACAACGCTCATCAGTTCCAACCCCTGCTGTGTGCAGGTCACCAACCAGCAGCCCAGGCTGCCCACAGCCACATCCAGCCTGGCCTTGGATGCCTGCAGGGATGGGGCATCCACAGCCTCCTTGGGCAACCTGTGCCAGTGCCTCACCACCCTCTGGCTGAAAAACTTCCTCCTCATATCCAACCTAAACCTCCCCTGTCTCAGTTTAAAACCATTCCCCCTTGTCTTATCACTATTCACCTTTATAAACACTCACTGCCCCTGCAGCCTGTTAAAAAGGACTCCTGCTCAAATGAGCTTTGGCTCTTCAGGCTGAGACAGCCACAACCTTATCCTGTACCCCTGGGGAGCCACCCATGCCCCAAGGAAAAGCATTCCCTCTTTCAGGTGCCTTTTTTTGTCCCTTCCCATGTTACAGCTGCACTATGGCTTTCACTCTTGTGAGCTTAAATCTGATGATGCTTTCCTTCTCTACACCTCTGGTCAGACACACATCCTGGCCAGCATGCAAAAGCAGTGCTGTCCCACCTCTGAAAGCTGTTACTGCTGGGACTCAGCAGGAAGCTCCCAGCGACAGCTCCGGGCACTTACCAGATGGAGAGATGTGTCTCCAGGAAATGGAGGGCTCTGGTTTCCCAGTGGCCAGACACACGAGAGTAACATTGCTGCCTTCGTTCACAACGATGTCACTCGAAATACGAAATATCTTCGGAGAAACTGAAAGGAAACGAGGAGAGGTTGTAAGGGAATGCCATCAAGTCAGTGCTACTGAGACAGTGCTGCCATCAGAGCAGAGGCTGAGCAGGCTGTGTCTGTGCATTGCCATGGCCACAGAACCACACAAACCGGCTGGGAGGTCACAGTGCAGAAAGAAACAACAGCAGCATTGTGAAGGTGTGACCACAGCCATTTCAATCATGTCTGCAGCACAGCCTGGGGACTTGAAATATTGCAAATAGGAAAGCAGCAGTTTCCTCTGTTTTGTACGGAGCAGGGATTGCTATGAGACCCCAGTAAAGTGCTGCTGATGGATGGATGCTTCCATTTGTGAGAAGGCTGAGCTTACTCGTGACAGCTTGGAAAGAAAATGTAATTAAATTTTTCTTGTACTTTAAGAAAGAATGGTGTTTACATCCATGTATACAGAGGGAGTTGTATCTGTTCAACAAGGAGACCAAAACAAACACATTTGTTTCTATTGTGTTCTTTTCAGGTCTGCAGTATTTGATAAAGAAAGATTTCTTCCTTAAACCCCACTGTTTGTCCATCTGCTCATAAGGCAGAGCCCCACATGGAGCAAAAATAGCACGGAGTTGTAGGGAGCCTGTAGTTTCAGAGAAATAAGAAAAGAAATAAGTGTTCCAGAGCTGTGAGGATGTGGCACCGAGGGATGTAGGCAGTGGGCATGGGGGGGGCTGTTGGGGATCTTGCAGGGCTTTCTCAACCTCAGTAATTCCATGGCTCTATGTTTTTATGTGTCTATGTTGTGTGCTTTGGGATCCCCACTTGCAGACGTTCTCCAACCCTTCCATGGGTCCATTGAAGTTAGTGCATCAGAATGAGTCGGGGTCAGAAAACTTCAAGGAAGGTGGAAATTCCCTGTGCTTGCCCATGGCTACGCATTTGTGAGCAAAGAAAATTAAAAGTCTTTGCAGCGTATTGTTAATTAGCAAAGAAATGTCGTCCACGGGGAGTCCAAAGGTCTGGGAAAGGCCTTTCCAACTTCCTATGAGAGTGAAGGTCGGTGCTGCTATCCTTTGAAGTTCAAACAGGTCAACACACAGCCACTGAAACAGCAGAAGCCGCCTGAGCTCAGCAGCTCACTCACAGAGGCAGCAGTCCCTTCCTCCCGTCCACTTGGTGCCCAGGGAAAGCACGCAGTCCTTACACAGCATTTGCAGGAGCTGAACCACACAGCCAGAGCTGCCTCCAGGCACTGACAACTCATTGATCAGAGTTCAACCCACAGGGAACGGCTGCCCAACCCCGCTCTGCACAGCCTGGTGCTGCAGGGCCGGGGCACACAGCTCTGTGCTCTGAGCAGCCCCTGCCCTGAGCAGCAGCTCTGAGTGCTGAGCACACAGCAGGAGGGATGGAGCTGCTGCCCAGCTGCCCTGAGCCTCATCCCGGCTGAGATGCAGAAATCCTTTGGAGAGAAGAATATCACAAGCAGTGCAGCAAACACTGCGGCTTTATCCAGCCTACAGTATTTGGAAAATATCCTCCTAAGCCTGAGCCACGTATTTCTTATTCCTCCAGAAAGAAAACATACTTGTGGGAAGTTATGTGAAGGAATTCAGTAACTCAGCGCAGCCCTTCTCACAAGTAAATACTTACAATTGGTGTCTATCTAGAATTGTGGGAATGTCTTCCAGATACAACAGATATCACAGCCTAAGACTTCCAACAGTTTCTTATTCCAGGTTCTGCACCCTCGATGGTAGAAAAATAGGGATTGGCACCTGCTTTGGCACTATTATGCAGTGCTGTGAGTGGGTTTGCACCCAGCTGCTACACGGTGCTATTTACCCCAGAAAGTTATTTGCTGTAAATGGTCACCACACAGAGGGGCCCTGGCTGGAACTGCTGCCCCCATGGCACCTGTGTGCCCCACAGACACCGCGGTCCCCTGGAGCTCAGCCTACATCAGGCTCAGGGTCAGAGCAGACCCCATGTCTGTTGCCAGAGATGGATGCATGAGCCTCCCACTCACTGCTAAGTGCATGGGCTGAGGCTGACGGGTAAAAAACCTCTTAGAAGTACAGCAATGTGAATTTCAGGTGTGCTCGATTGCAGTCCTTCGGCATAAGGATGAGGCAGAAGAGCTGGCTCATATCAGCACTCAGTCAAATCTCCAAAAGGACAGGTTTCCTAAGAGAACACACTGACAGCACTGCCACAGTCAGGAACCTCGCATTGAAACAACAGGGCTTCGTTCAGCTCGCACTGATGAGCATCTCCTTTCCAAGACAAAGATCAGCACGGTCTGCTCTTTCCACCGCTGCCTCATCGAAGCACTGCCCTCCTCTGCCCCTGCCCTCGCATGAAGCTCTGAGCGCTCTTTCTCATCCACCGCCTCCTGTCTGTGCTCACATGAAGCACAGAACACAGCCCTGTTATCTGGGGGCAGCCACGGCTGAGCGCCGCTGTTGCCTTCTTTCTTGTAGGCTTTGGTGCTTTGTTTAAATCCCAAATCTACACCGTTTAGTGAAGTGCTTTAATTTTGATAAAACCATGTGTTCCAATGGCCCAATAATCAGAAAAACTTTACCCGCCAGTGTGACGTGCAAGCTGTGGTTATGGAGCACGTGTGTGTGCTGGAACTGAAATGCTGCAGGTTTGGGGAGCACCTGGCCGAAGGGGCAGCTCGGGGCCATTGGCCTCAGCTCAGCCATTCCCAGCACCAGCAGCTTCCCAGGAGTTGGCCGGAAGGCTGTGCTGCAGAACTCTGGCTGTGCTTATCCTGGCAGTTCCAGGTGATGCTCACGCTGCCACTCCGGGGAAGCGCTTCCAGCAATTAAATACCCCTCACTGCTGGGAAATAGCATCTTTCTTCAAAATTGCATTTCACTAAATTCAGCTTTCAGAAATCAGATCTTATTATGTTTTTGTCTGCAAGACTGAACATTCCCCTTACTATCAAGTATCTTTTCTATGACTAAGGACCCATAAAACATGATAAATCACCTCTTCATTTTTCTCTGCAGATGATTTAAGCAGTACAAGCTTAATTTTCGTTAGGCTTGATAGATAGTATTTGTTTCTCTCTTTTGAGGACTGTCTGAATCATCCAGACACGTGAACAGTGGAACACAGCGTAACAGTCTATTGAGAGCCTTACCAGTGCTGCTTGCAGAAGCACACTGTGTCATCTCAGCTCTACTCCTCTTTCTCAGTGCAGTCCTCGTCCAAGCTACCATTCCTTCCATCCCCATCGTATGGGCTATCGTCCCTGCCATCCCTGCTATCTCCATCATCCTTACCACCCCTATCACCCCTACCATCCCCACCATCTGGGCTATTGTCCTTGCCATCCCTAACATCTCCATCATCCTACCATCCCTATTACCCCTACCATCCCCATCATCCCTACTACCCTCACCATCCAGGTTACTGTCCCTACTACCTCCATCATCCCTGCCTTCCCTACCATCCCCACCATCCAGGCTATTATCCCTGCCATCCCTACCATCCCTTATCACCACTGCCACCCCCGTCACCCTCCAGCTGTGGCCCTTGGCAGCGCTGGCGAGGAACGGCAGGTCTGTGGGGATGCAGGTGGCTTTGCTGGATGTGGGGTCTTATTGCACTCTCTTGCGTTGTTAAAAACATCACTTACGTGTGGTTAGAAATGACACAAGCATTGAATTATTATTCCTACATTATTTACAAATTTCCAAATTCCTTGGGAACGATGAAGTATCCCAAGGCTCCTGCAGGTCGCATTGCACATCAGTGTGTTCCTCCCTCCTGATCACTCCCATAGGAATCTCTCTGCTCCCCGCACACCATGCAGACATGTGGGGTGCCTGGAGCAGCAGCAGGCAGAGGGGGCTCTCCGGCCACGAACTACAAGCATGTTTGAGCTCACAGTTCTCCCCAGAGCCCAGAGTTATACGAGCCATTATTGTGCAGGGGACTGACAGCGAGTCTGTACTTCACTGTGCCTCATTTCTCATTTTCAAGGACTGGAATGATATTCTCAGTTACATTCAAGTGCACATAAACGATGCCGCGTAATAAAGCTTACTGCTGTCACGGGAATGACTGCAGGACTGAACTGCTCCTGTAGATGAACGTGGGAGAGGATGACTTATTTCCATCACAATTTAGAGTCATGAGGCAAATAACCTGGAGTCAAAGCAGTGCGTCCAGCCTCTCAGCGTGTGCTGCCATGCTGCTCTCTGCTGGAACGTCCTGCCAGCTCCCAGTGCCTGCATGTCTGCATGGGATTGCAGCTGCACCCAGCTGGGAGCCCTGCTGCTTTGGGAAGCAACCCTGGAAAGGGTGATGGCAAGCCCTAGCATACATTGGTTTAGTGATGTTTGTTAAAATTAAGGCCGCCAACTCCATTTTGAGATTATAATGTAGTAATTCCTCTCATATACAGAATATTGACAGTTCCAGTAGAAAGTATAAAAACTATGAGAAGAATTTGGCTATAAGCACAGAAGTGTCACATGTGGGAATTGGGAAGAGGGATTTTGCCACCGGAATTTGAGGAGTGCCCGCAATCCCCAGTACCCCAAAGTCCTTCAGCCAAACGCTGGGCTGCACACCTGGCCTCTCTATCTGTAGTGACCATTTTTGCTGGTTATAATTTCATTATTTAACAGTAAGTCAGCAGGGGGAGGGAAGATGCTGCCCTCAGCAGCTCAATGGCCGGAATGAATTCATTGGCTGCTCCACCTGGGCAAACACCGATGGCTGTGGGCAGGCAACCAGCAGTGGCACAGGGCTGTGCAAAACATCCACTCACTGCATTCCGGGTTGTCCCGTGCCACACTCTGCAGCACTGTGCTGGAGGGCAGCAATGCTGCCTGTGAGCAGAGCTGCAGGAGGGAAGCAGCACAAATGCAAGGGCATAGCAGCACCAAGAAGTGCAGGGGTAAGGCACAAATGCAGGGGCACAGCACCAGTGCAGGGGGGTTCAGCACCAATGCAGGGAGCTCAGCACCAATGCAGGAGCACAGCATCCATGCAGGGGCACAGCACCA